AGATAGATAGATAGATAGATGATTGATAGATAGATAGATAGATAGATAGATAGATAGATAGATAGATAGATAGATAGATAGATAGATAGATAGATAGATAGATAGATAGATAGATAGATAGATCCATAGGTAGATAGGTACATAGGTAGATAGGTAGATAGGTAGATAGGTAATGAGATGGAAGAGAGAAAGAGAGAGATAGATAGATCGATCGATAGATAGATACATAGAAGATAGGCTGGTAGGTAAGTAGATAGTCAGAGAAAGAGAGAGAAAGAGAGGAGACCTCAAGCACCTTTCGGTCCATCAGTGGATTCGCTCTGCCATCCCTGATTCACAACAGCCAATCTCTCCTATAGGTTTTCTATTTTTGAAACTTCCACCACCGCCTTGTGCGGTACTACTGGTATATTGTCTTGTTCGATCATTTGAGACAGAGTAAGGGTATCACAGAAACCGTTTCAGATCGTTTCCCGCTACTTTCTAAGTAATAGTCCGAACCGTTTCAAACCGTTTCAATCCAATCCCTAAAAGGCCTTACTTGCATTACTTCTTTCGTTTGTTTTATTAATGTACAATGTGTTGGATGTTGTTTCAACAGTTTCTTAAAACTTTGTATATTTAGGAAATACTGTAGTTTTTGCAAAATGTGCTTATTTAGGAAATAGTTTTTGCAAATTGGTGTTATTTAAAAAAAAAAGCTTTTGGCCTCCACAGACAAAGAGGCCAAGGCACCCCCCCAATATCTCGATGTTGAACACTTCAGCCGTTGAGAGGGTTTTGACTTGAAATTGGAGGGCCTTTGGGCCTCATCAAAAATCAGTCATGCCTTTGTGGATGCATCTTTTTACTAACTAATTCCCCATTGATTGGTCCCCTATCTCATGCGTGCTCCCTCTCTAAGTCAGGTTTGGGTCCTTCGCGTGCCGAGGTAGGTTTTGGCTCTCGCCTTGTAGGTTGTGTCAGGCGCTTCCGTCCGCCCCCCTCCTCTGGTTGGTGTTTGGCCCGTCGTCCGTCCGCTTTTTCTTTTCCCTGGCCCTTTCAGGGTTTGCCCGTTCTGGGTTAGGTGTGTTGGTGTTGGTGTTCTTCCTTTTTCCCGTCCTCTTTTGCGTTCCCCGTCTCGTGTCCCGGTTAAGTATCTGTCATCTCATTCCCATCGTCACCTCACTTCCCTTTCATCTTCACCTTCATTTCATTTGCCGGAGCCTTAAAAAGTTCGCTGCTGCGGGGCGTGAGTGTGTGTGTGTGAACCATCTGTAGAGATGTAAAACTTCTCACGATGTGATTGATTCGCAGGGGGGCACAGAAGGCCCATGGAGCTGTGCCCAACGAAGCTCTCTATGGTGTCCTTAGATATCCAGGCTAATCACCTGGACGTACCAGCACTCGTTTTGCACCTATCTCGATGTCAATTTAATTTTCGTGAGTGGCAACCAGCTAAGTCAAGAATCGGCGTGACGTTCATTTGCATATTGTTCCAACCGTTTCAATTTGGCAACTCCACTGGCTATGGCGATGGTAACTTCTCAATATTTTTCAGGTCCCTTCACCGACCCATTCTTGTCAGGTATAACGGAAGTGTTTTTGCACGAAAGATGCATTCCACAACAGAATTCGCAATGTCAGTTCTGAGCAAGTGTGTGTGTGTGTGCGCCTGTTGGTGCGTGTCTTCGTCTGTCTGTGTGTGTGTGTGCGTTTGCGTGTCCTGAAGCATTTGTGTCTAAAACGTTTGGTTGTCAAAGCGTCTGCGTGTAAAAGCATTTGTCTCCAAAACACTTGGTTGTAAAAGCGTCTATGTGTAAAAACGTGTCTGTGTTCAAAGCATCTGTATCTAACAGCGTCTGTGTGTAAAAGTGTCATACATGTAAAAGCACCTTTGTGATCCTGTGTGTAAAAGTTTCTCTGTGTACAAGGGTTTGTGTGTAAACATGTTTGTGTAAAGTCGTTTGTGTGCAAAAACATCTGTGTGTAAAAGAGTCTGTGTGTAAAGGAGCCTGTGTGTACAAGCGTCTGTGTGTGAAAGCGTCTGTGCGTAAAAGTGTTTGTGTGTAAAGCGTCTGTGTGTAAAGGAGTCTGTGTGTAAAAGCGTCTGTGTGTGAAAAGGGTGTAAAGATGTGTAAAGTACCTGCGCGCAAAAGCGTTTGATGTAGAATTGTTTATATAACTTTCTTCGGTTTTCATCTTAAAGCCTTGACATGTTATCTTTTTCTTCTCGTTTGCCTATAATATCTTTAAAAAATATAAAAATATATTGTCTTGATACTAACAACAGAAGAACTTGCTCATCTACGCTCTCGGGCCCTCCGTCGTCTAGTTTTGTTTGCTAGGGAGTGGAATGAGTGCCTGCATTTGTATATATAGTTGATGGCATTTGTGTGTGTGCGTGTCCAAATATCAGCAATACCAGCAATATCTGATAGATAGCTAGATCGATAGATAGATAGTTTGATAGATAGGTAGATAGATAGGTAGATAGGTAGGTAGGTAGAGATAGAGATAGATATGATATAGAGATAGAGGAGATAGAGGAGATAGAGATAGAGGAGATAGAGATAGATAGAAAGATAGATAGAAAGATAGATAGAAAGATAGATAGAAAGATAGCTCGAGAGATAAATCAGATGGATCAGGTAGATCAGATACATTAGATAGATTAGATAGATTAGATAGGTAGGATAGATAAGATAGAGATAGATAGATATGAGAGATAAGATAGATAAGAAAGATAAGGTAGATAGGAAAGATAGGATAGGATACATAGGATAGTTCGGATAGGTAGGATAGATAGGATAGATAGGATAGAAAGGATAGATAAGATAGATAGGACAGATAGGACAGATAGGAAAGATCAGATAAATAGGAAAGATAGATAGCTAGATAGATAGATGGATAGGAAAGAAAGAAAGATACATAGATAGAAAGATAGATAGATGGAAAGAACGATAGATAGATAGGACAGACAGGATAGATTGATAGGATAGAAAGGATAGAAAGGATAGAACTGATAGAAAGGATAGAAAGGATAGAAAGGATGGAAAGAAAGAAAGATAGATAGATAGATAGATAGATCGATAGATAGATAGATCGATAGATAGATAGATCGATAGATAGATAGATCGATAGATAGATAGACAGATAAACAGATAGTTAGATAGATAGATAGATAGATAGATAGATAGAAAGCTTAGACAATTTAGATAGCTTAGATAGATAGATAGTTTGATAGATAGGTAGATAGATAGATAGGTAGGTAGGTAGAGATAGAGATAGATATGATATAGAGATAGAGGAGATAGAGATAGAGATAGAGGAGATAGAGATAGATAGAAAGATAGATAGAAATATAGATAGACAGATAGATAGATAGACAGATACATAGACAGATAGATAGATAGATAGGTAGGTAGGTAGGTAGATAGATGGATATAGATTGATAGATAGGTAGATAGATCGACTGATTGATAGATTGGTTGAAAGATAGATTTGATAAGTTTGATACATTGATAGATTGATTGATTGATTGATAGATTGATAGGTTGACAGATTGTTAGGTAGATAGACAGACAGACAGACAGATAGATAGATACATGATTTACGTTCAAACGCATACACACGCAATGCCATATATACATACATGCACACACATATATATATATTTATTTACACAAAATTGCATCGCAGTCAGTTCTTTTGACTGAAGAAAGTAGTTTGCGAATGATGCTCACACCGCACTTTGTGGCCCTTGCTTTCCATCTCCAAAGCTTGTTCCATGGAGGCATTGATGAGACATCTGGACCGATTTCCAGGTGATCCATCTCACAGACGAAGATGAACCTTGCGCATTGAAAATTAATGTCCTATATTTTCTTATCCGATTCCAGGACAAGACGTCCACCTGGTTGAGAAATTGACACAAAAATTCAGTAAAGGGAGTCGCAACAGCCAAGAGGTCACATGCTTGTCTGAAGCTATGCGCAGTCGTAGTCCCAGGGTGTTTGTTTCCGGGCCATTAGAATCAAATGTCAGTAGCAGATGGGTGACGATGCATGCAGATATGATATGACAATTTGGATTTGGCTATTGCGATTCCTGTCAGGGGGGTGCCGGCCAACTTTGTGCCTGAGCCACTTGTGAAGTCCCCATAGCCCTGCGTGGGCAATGCCCTTGACTTTTACCTTCTAGAAGTTTCAAGAGAACACCCATGAACACGCATGTGTGACAGTTCCACAAGTCCTGAATCAGACTTTTTGATGGACCCAATGTAGCTGCATTTATATAACGAATAAGGTGTAGCCAATTCTTCCACGATAGAATTGCGTTCTCTTGTGGCTTCATGTGTTTTGCCCTCCACATTTCGTGCCACACGGTTATGCCAGCCAGGAGGAGGCAGTGGGCAAAGCTGTGAAGGACCTGGAGTTGGACTTTTGTAGCGTGGACGAGATGCCTGGCTGATACGGAACTGTTGCATTTTTTTGCATTCATTTCGGCACTCATTTCAGACATATTTCAGCACTGCCAAGTGAGGATGTGCCGACAACTGACTGCACCATGGGCCCGGGAGAAAGGCAAAACAAGTGGTAGCGCACACTTCGAGAAGCAGGGCCGCCCAGATGTCAGTTCTGAGGGGCTTTTATTCCCGATATGTTTTTGTTCCTGTGATGCAGCTACATTGGATTCCAACATCGTTTTCAAACTAGGATAACTGTTTACCCATCATAAATCATAAATGTAGGTTGGTTGGGCAGGGGCTTTATGAGGTGTGAAAGTGTTGAGACCTCTGGGCCTTGATGCCATTTTGGCTCAAGGACTCTTGTAGTCAAACCATATGCTTGATGTGTGTGGTTTCTACCCCCCCTCTGAGACTCTGTGTTTAACCCATTGTTATTTCATAACAATGTGGTGTTCACTATTTATGTTTCTACCAAAAGGGACGGTAGTTATCACACGATGCTTGAAGCGGCTAAGTGTGGTTAAAAGAGAGCATCTGCAGGTGTTCTTACTTTCAATATACCAGTAGTACCGCACAAGGCGGCGGCGGAAGTTTCAAAAATAGGAAGCCTATAGGAGAGATTGGCTGTTGTGAATCACGGATGGCAGAGCGAAGCCACTGATGGACCGAAAGGTGGTTGGAGCTATGTTTTTTGGAGTGGCTGCAATGGTTGCAGTGGTCACCTCACCACAACTGTTGGATGTAGTGTGGTGTAGGGCAGTTGTCGCTGTAGTTGTAGTGTAGTGGAGTTGTAGTTGTGGTGTAGTGTAATTAGTGTAGCGTAGTTGCAGTTGCATGTGTGGCGATGCTGTAATGAGTCTAGTGTAACACAATGTAATGTAATGCAATGTGGGGTAGGTTAGTGTAGTTTAGTGTAATTGAGTGTAGTGTACTGTAGTGTAGTGCAGTGCAGTGTAGTGAGGTGTAGTATAGTGTAGTTGTGTGGGGTGTAGTGTAGTGTAGTGCAGCGTAATGTAATGTAACTAGTGTAGTGTAGTGTAGTCTTATGTAGTTGTAGTTGTAGTTAGTGTGATGTAGTGCAATGTAGTGTAGTGTGGTGTAGTGTAGTGTAAGGTCACTAGCGTAGTGAAATGTAATGTAGTGTAGTCGCAGCTGCAGTTGCAGTTGTAGTTGTAGTTGTAGGTGTAGTGCAGTGTCATTCAGTATAGTGTAGTGGAGTGGAGTGTAGTGTAGTGTAATTAGTGTAGTGTAACGTAGTGTAAAAGTAGTATTGTTGTAGTTGCAGTGGTGCACTTTTTCGACATCTCAACTTCCAAAAGTGCTCCGAGCATGGTGTGTTTTGTAATTGCACATTAGCGAGCCTACTTTTAGCGAGCCTACTTTTCGACCCGCTGGAGCCACAAATCATTGGAGAAAACACAGTGTTTCGCGACTTTCTTACCTTTTCGCGCACCTGGATCTTCTTTCTTCTGACTCTTTCTCTTCTCTGATCTTCTGTCTTCTACTCTTCTCTTCTCTCTGACTCTTCCCGTCTCTGCTTTTCATCTGTCCATATTGTCGGAAGTTTGACTTCTAAACTTCCTTCAATAAATGTCTATTATATACCACGGCGATAAAAGGTAGTAGACAGTCTGGGCTGGTGACCCAGTGGCTCAGGTACGAAGCTGCTCTCAACCATCAGTCGCAGCTGTTAGAGACAGGCGTTTTCCTATCCGATTTGGGAGTGCTTTTGCCATCGGAAATCGTTGCAAAAACAGTGAGAAACCAAGTGCAGTATATATTTGCCAGGAATGGAGTTGCTTTCCAGCCGCTAAGAAAGGCTTGATTCATGCCTGAAAACCGAATTTGTTTTCTACAATGCTATGGGCTGACCAAATGTGTTTTTTCTTCCAATAGTTTAAAATAGTTTAAACATATACAGTATACATATGTCACATGTGGACACATGCATTCGGGCTTACTTAGATTGACTCTCTAGTATGAACTCACCTGACAATTTAAAATGTTGAAGGGATCCTGATCACATACCTCGTGGGCAGAACGCATTTTGACTGATCCGTGATAAAAGCACTTGCAAAATCCTGTGCATGCAATCTGCCTTTCTTACGCCAAAGTTCCGGTGGTGCCTTAATCAAACACACCAAGCCTGCAATTTTGTCAAGCCGCTGATGGTTTGTTCGTGCAGAAGGCCTGCGCGATTTCTGGCATTTCGCTTTAAATCAAGATAAAACCCGCAACCTGTACAAGAATGTCTTTGTATCTCCAGGCATCTATACTATTGAGGACTTGAGGGCAAAAGGCTTAGAAGAGCACCTTGTTTGCATTGTGCAGGGGCTACATATGGGAAATCTCATGGGAGTATGACAGTAGACAGGTTGCGAACAGCGTGTTTCCTGCGGTTTGGGGCTCTGGACTTCCAAAGTCTTGGAAACATGTCATCCTCACGTCCTCCATCGTCCTCCTATACCAAATTGTTTGCTTCGGTACCCCCTCCTTCTATCCTTCCATCCATTCTTGCTCAGGGGCTTCGGCTGGTGTCCATACTATGCAGCCCGACGTCTTATCCATGCAGCCAGCGTGGTAGTTCTCAACTACCAGCTGCCTGGTTTGAAGAGGACATGCACGTTGCTCTTGATGTTGCTGACCTTCCCAGCAAATTTAACTCATGGGTATAATGGGTGTTCGATTTGTTTTACGTGTCGTTTTTGTGCGTCCTTGACCCATTGTCATCCACGCTCGTCTCTTCCGTTTTTTCCCCAGAGATGTGAGGTCTGCTCACGTTTGCCATTGTTAACGTCCCAATATTCGAGAAGATGTTTTGTCAGTTTTACCCCAGCCAGGTACGTCTTAGACCCGAAGGTCTCCCTGGCTTCCTCACTAGGAGGGGCTCCAAGCTTGCCTGGTGCCCGTCGCCAAGGCTCACACGAAAGCCACAAGGGTATCCAAGGGTATCCAAATGTATCCAAGGGTATCCAAGGGTATCCAAGGGTATCTAAAGGTTTCTAAGGATCCTTTTGGAGCCTTTGCCTTGAATCTCTGTTAGGAATCTCCCAAGTCCTGTGGTGGTCCCCACAAACAGCGACGAAATGCCAAGACATGCCAATACCATCCCTTAGGTTGTGGAGCTGGAAATGTTTGAGACTAAAATGGGAAAGTTCGACCAGGTCCCGCCACTGCAACTGAACCAAGCATTGTGGTCTTTGATGAGGCAGGGGTGAGGTGAATCGCAGTCAACTGGAGCACACATGGCTATCAGATGGATCACATTTGGCTGGTGTCAATCCTTTTTCCGACAGTCACCTACGGTATGCAAGTATTCTGAAATTCTGTTGTAAGCAGGGGTGTGGGAAGACGTGGGAAGCACTCTAAAGCAAGATGATCCAAGACACGCTGGGCTTCATTGTATCACTCTTCAATGGACGGGTGCTCGGACACAGGCGTGCAGAGTGCAAAACGCACAGACCAGAGGCACAGACACAGACACAGACAGGACACACAGACACAGACACACACTTGCGAAGTCATGAAAGACGGTTTCTTATCATGAATGCAAAGTCTGATTACCTCATGGTAGGTTGAAGGCATCACTCGGCCATACCGAGTTAAAAAGGCCAAGCTTATCCGTTGACATTTGAATGTCTGGTTGTTTAAAAGAAAAAACCGAGATTTCTCAATCGAACATGGTCATGAAATGAATAAATGACGGCATGCAGGTTCTTGGGTTAGCCTGATCCCATGGAGTACTAACGGATACGGATATGACCACCAGCTATGACCCCAACATATTGGGTATGTCATCCAGGTGCATCATGCAGGTACGTTTTCACAACCTGAGGTGAATGTCTTCATTGGCACAAGACTCACCAAAGGTCCTTGTGCCCCCTGCTATGAATTAAAGGCGCAACGATATCACTGATTTATAGAAGAAAGCGGCCAAAAACAAGTTAGTTGAAGTCAGCCACAAAAGGTGAAGAACTCTTCGGTACAGAGCTTGACACACACAAAAAGGCACGTAGCCGGGCTTGTGTTCCTAATATTGCGAACATGCAAGACATCAACATGTGATTTGTAAAAATCCGCACTGGAACATTTGCAACCTCATCAGCGTATCAGCAGCTATTTTTTAAAGCCAAAAGTTTAGGTATGCTTGAACTGCCTTCTGTACAAGACGCGTTGGCAGTCTGTTTTGGAGAACCCTTTCTGTACATACAGCTGAATGAGTTGGTTGATATCGTCACGGACAAATTGTTTGGGAAACGCGTATCTGCGAAGTAAGGTTGCACGGGACTTTAGTCCGGACAAGCGGAGACGCATGCTGCCAGCAGAATGGAGATCGCGAATTTTCCATAGTGGAGGTACTTGGTACCTTACGGTTCGTTGCACCACATCGATGGTGAACCCAAGGAGTGTACCATCTTGGACGGTTTCCAACTCCACCGGCGCTTGATAAAAGAAACAATCGGAAAGCACTCGCATGGGCAGTGCGGAGCGAAAACGGTGGTCAAACAAAATAAATCTGTTGTCCACATATCTTGTGAACAGAAGCTGGAGTTGACTGGATTGAATAAAAGTTGAATACGCATTTCTCCAGCTACGCTCTATGAGCGTCACAGCCAAATTACTGAGAGAGGGAGAGATGTGTGATCCAATCCCTGCTCCACGATGCTGTACCCAAATTTGGTTGACAGCTTTAAACACGTGGGTGCTTAAAGAAGCCTGGACAATTGTCAATATGTCTTGGACTCGAACGGTCTTAATATTCGGTGATGTCTTCTTGCATTGTCCCACAAATGAAGTATGGACAACTGGCCCTTTCAGAGCCATGTTGACCGAAACTTGTGTTTCACCATGTTGATTGACCCATTCCGTGGTCAATTGTTGTATCGCATCAAGTAAACGTGATTGAGGGACACTGTTGAAAAATCCAACAAGATCACCATTGATGGCAGCAAATTGAATAGCGTCATCTGTTTGAGAAAACTGTTGATGGATATTTTTCCAAATTTCAGGAACAGAAAGTTGACCAGCTTCTTGCGGCCAAAGCATCACGCACATCGTATCAAGAGTTCTAGCGGTGGCCTGCATGAGTTTGCCATAGCGTGAACCAAGGTACGAAATCAGTGTACGTCCTTTATTGGACATCTTCTTTCGTTTCAGATGTACGAAGCCGTAAGGCAGCTTAGAGGATGTGTTAATCCCCCATCTGTATTTGTTCTGCAAGGACGGTGTCAAAGCAGTAGCAATGATCTTTTGAGCATCTTCTTCATTCCCAGAAAAACGGGGAAACAATTCAGGATCATCCCACGTTCTGCAAGCAGACTCAAAATAGAAGCGAGGACAAAACAGGGCGATGCGATGAATCTCATGATCAGCATGATGAATCACCACATTGGGTGGTAACCATTGAAGGAGGTGCTTGATATTCTGGAAGGAAAATCTGGGATTGTCGTGCAACTCCTTGGTGTGAGCGGTCCATTGTCGAAGAAGTTCGGCTTGGAGATCTTCATGAGAAAACGGAGGACAACCGTGAAATTTAGTCCAGTACTGCAATTGTTCATGCCAAATCTTCTGAAATTGTGCAAAGCTGGGAAAGAACGTAGAGGAGGCGTGGCTGTTTCAAAGATGCGCAACTTGGAGGGCAACTTCAACTCTTGGATTCCAACAGCAACATGTTGATGAACACCAAAACAATGGATTGAAGGATCATCGTCTTTGATTTTGGCAATCAATTGAGAGCACGAACATGTCAACTGGGTCGGATCCTGTACAGGGTGCTCGTGCTCATACTTCTTGTAATTATGTAGAAAACCTGAAAGTGTCTGTGCTGCAGCCCTCAGTTTTGAGGTTGGAAGATGCAACGGAATTGCAATTTCCTTGTACTTCAAGACATGATTACGTAAAAACCTTGAAACTTGTGCTGAAAAATCGGAGTGTGCCAAAAATGGCATGGTCGCTGGACGATTCAGTTTTGGGATCGTCATATGTCTGAACTTCATGGCTAATGCGAGAAGTTTTCTGGCTCGACCACGCGCTGGCTGTTCCAAATGAGTACAAAGTCGGTACAACACATAGATCTCCCAATCATCAAATTTCCCAGACCTGAGGGTTCGCGCCGTATCAAAAGAAAGGTGGCCGGGACTTGTAAGCTCAAAAAGAATGTTCCAAGCTTGAGCTTGTTTGCAGTGAATGGAGGGCGGAACACCTTTGGTGGTGAGTCTTCTGCGTAGTCTTTGAAACAATCTGTTTCCCTCTGGAATAGATGGAAAAGTCTGAGAATGTTTCTTGTACTGAACCAACCATCCTGATGCTTTCAGCGTCAAGATTTTGGTAATGAATGGATGGTTCAACGGTGGTTGCCATCTTGAAATCAGTAAATGTTCAAAAATCCAGGCTTCTTGATATGTTGAAAAAGAAGCAATTGGAATTGCAGTAAAATTAGAAAAATCAGAACGTCGAGACCAGTACTTCAACATGAACAGGGGGTACCATCTTTGGCCAGTCTGTACTTGGCCATTCTATTGAATTCCCGCTTGGCCATTCCAGTGGATGTGGAGCCGATATAAAATCTACCAGCTTGTTTGTACGAAAGTGAAGTGGAGTTAGGAAGGTTATTAAACTGCATCTTAAGATAGGTGACAGCTGTACATTGAAAGAATACAAAAGTGTAACTCTCTGGATTAATACCAAGGTTCTGCAGTCTTCGCTGCCAAACCTGGCTATGATACGTGCGTGATCCAAAATGGAAAAGACAAATGAGATGAAGCAAACCAAGGGCCCAAATTGCACAAGACTTGTTGACAGCGGGAACAAAGTGCACGATCTTGATAAATACGGATCTCAAAACTGTGATGTAATCCAGAACGGCTTTCGGCCGATGTTTGGAAACATCCATAGCTAGTCAAGCTGTAACAGCTGCTCCAACTGCAACTGCTTGTTGGAGACTTGTGATGCTGAGCCTGAGAACGTCACTTAAATTAAGGCCATATTGAGTGCTGGCCTGTTGCAACTGTTCCTTGGTGGATGAAGCAGCCTTGATGATATCCATGATTTTCTTGGACATCTGCTGGGCTTCCAGGTTGAAAGTTTGGGTCCACTTCTTTACATTGGCTGCGGTGGCTCCGGAAAGCTGATTCTCTCTGAGATTTGGTGCCTTTGGCTCCAAAATCTCCTGAATTGTCAATTGTGTCGGAGATTGTGTGGCAGAGGTCACGTCTTTTGGTGACGCAGCTGCCTTATGGAACATAGGTGCCAGCTTCCTTTGCTTTGGCAGCGGTTTCGGAGAAGCCCCCAATGCCTCGCTGGGTCTCTTTCTGAGAGAGGTAGAAACAACAGCAGGAGAATCAGGAACAACAGAACCAGCAGAACCAGGACCATCAAGATCATCCGTTGGCAATTTGCGGATCAGGGGCAAAAGTGCCGGTTGTACGCCGCGATCTCTGGGGTGTATCCGGAATGCCTGCTTGCGCAAGCTTGGTCTTGGCAGCTTGAAGCTTCGCTTCGGTCTCCTGGAGCCTTCGCATGGCTTCGGTATCCTGTTTTACAGGACACTGAGCCTTGAGTTTATCGGCTATGAATTGAACTAAAGGTGCCATAAACTCAATCGGTTTGTCCGTGCGATTGGGAATGCCCTGCTGAGGGGCCAACTGGCGATGAAGGCTTTCAGCCGTAGCATCGATATCGATCCCTTGATCGTCAAATTTTGGGAGCCAAACACAGATTCAGCAACAGATTTTGCACAAATAATTCCAACAAATCTGCCATGACTGAGCGCTCGAAGCGCTGCTTCATCAGGTCCATGCCGGGTAAGATGACTCAGCGGAACGGAAAGTGGATCTTGGCCAGCAAGGTTCCTCTTGCGGCTCCATGCAGTCGGTTGAATTGATCTGTACAAACGGTAACCATATACTGAACTTGATCATCCCAACATTGACTCGTGCTGCGCCAGTGTGATGGTAAACTCACGGGCGGATTCGAAGACGGAGGCGGAGGTGGAGGAGACTGCTGCTGCTGCTGCCATTGATTGTCCCAAGAATTCCATTGGGAGCTATCCCAGTACGACATGGCTAACAACGGAGATATTGACACGTCAACAGGAAGCCTAAGGACCCAAAAACTGCAGCAATAACAGAAAAACAAAGTAAAATTGAAAAACCTGCAATTTGACATGCGGCACGTTGATTCAACGTGGCAGCCTGATGTATCTTCTTGTTGGACAGAATGGATCACAATTTCAATTGAATTAAAATATGTTTGTTAATTCGCAAATCGGAAAACATGGGTTGTCCATGCTTTTCTTTTTTGAACATCTCAGCAAATGTCGATCGCGCATGCAACGGAAATGAATTAAGCATACCGGTAAAAGGTCTGATGGAGAAACGGGCAGTTCATATTGAAGCAAAATTCCAATCAGACAAAAGAATAGCAGATGGTAAAACATCAAGGGTTCAAAATGGAGTAGGGAATTAGTCTAGTGGGCTTTCAGCTGCCACTCTGAATGCAAAACCTAAGAGTTTGTGGGAGTTTTCATTAGTGACCCACATGCGTCCTCTTTGATGGTGGACGCATCCGCCATTCATGGTTTTCTGTACGCATTCCCATTCTCCCCCTTGCTTTACGGCCTCAGCCGTTTCCCATCCTACCGCAACTGCCAGAATGTTACTGGTATTCTTCGCAGCATACCATGCTGCATGTGTGATTCTGTCCATTTCTTTGTCATCCCAAGCTCTGTCATTTGTTCTTTTAGATCCAAGACTGAAAAATGAGCAAGATTGGCTGTTATGCAAACGGCTAGGTCCGATCTTTTGATCAGAAAAGATACCTTTGATGCCTCCAATACTGCTAGCATGAACCAAATTCACATGCTGTACTTCCTGGAGGTTCATCGCAGGTGCAGCTCGTACTGGATCTGTTATCTCTGTTTGAGAGAAATGTCCTTTAATAAGGTAATAGTGACTCTTGCCCAAATCAGTGGGATGATGTTCATGATCTTGAGGGTCATAAACAAGCAACTTCATTGCGGACAAATGATCAGGAGTATACCTGGTGTAGTCCAGAATTTGTGCAACGAATTTCACCATACTGTCCATCATCGGGTGGCGATCATCTTGATGATTTTTCAACCAGGATCGAATATTTGCCTGGTTCGGAGTGACTGGTTGACTCATCAGGGTGTCTCTGGTTGGTGTCACTTGGTGACGTCCTGAACGATCTAACGGAGGAAAAGCTGAAAACGGTCCTGTGGGCAGCAAGGCAGGAGGAGCGGGAGCTCTGGGAGGAGGAACATGTGTTCTGGGAGGGATGTTTCCAACATATGGGTCCCAAAGACCAGTATGAATGTCCCATTGACCTGGTGGTGGACCGTGAACTTGAGAAACAGAACGAGCTGTTCCAACTGACCTACCTCTTTCAGATCTCGGAGTGGGCCTTGGAGAATAATGATCACGATGATGGTGACGATGATGGGATGTTCGATGACAACGTCTTGTTCTAGATCTGGAGCAACTTGATGTTGTACGTCTTTCTTGTTTGTCATCATCTGCTCCAACCGGCACCACAGGTTGGATTGTTGACGGCCGACGAGGTACGGAGACCGTTCCTGGAACTGCGGCTGGGGCTGCTACCGGAATTGCTGAAGTAGTATGTGATGTCAGTGCCAGTCTTGCTGCTGGCTTCGCCGGTGCTTTCGGTGGCCGAGGTGGAGTTGGGTCCACGTTTCCGGCCACAAAGTAAACATTATACACCGGGGTCGACATGGCTCAGGAATCTAGAAAAAGGAAAATGTGTTGTCTAATCTGACAACTTTTTGACTGTACAAGGATTGATTCGTTAGACAGCTGACAAGTGGTGACGTATTAGTGTTTACTCAACTGTACACCAAAAGGAATTCATGTGTATAAACACCATTCATCCGTTTGGAATTCAATGCTGAGGCTTCAAGTGGAGAATTCAGAGAATTCATCATATTGGTGACTATCAGTCTCCAAAAATGTCAATGGTCAAATTCAAGTTCAAAATCAGTGATTTCAAGCTATTTTTGCCGGATAGCATACCGGGATCTATGCTCTCAAATGCACGCTTTGTGTCGGAGACACACATTCAATCATTGCATTGAGCCACCGAGGCTGAATTCAAGAGTCAGATTCACTTGTGGATTCTCACACTCCCAGGGGAGATACGACGCCTGGAATTCCAGGATCACGACCGGACTTTGACAGATCCCACGGCCGAAGTACACACTTGCGAAGTCATGAAAGACGGTTTCTTATCATGAATGCAAAGTCTGATTACCTCATGGTAGGTTGAAGGCATCACTCGGCCATACCGAGTTAAAAAAGGCCAAGCTTATCCGTTGACATTTGAATGTCTGGTTGTTTAAAAGAAAAAACCGAGATTTCTCAATCGAACATGGTCATGAAATGAATAAATGACGGCATGCAGGTTCTTGGGTTAGCCTGATCCCATGGAGTATTAACGGATACGGATATGACCGCCAGCTATGACCCCAACATATTGGGTATGTCATCCAGGTGCATCATGCAGGTACGTTTTCACAACCTGAGGTGAGTGTCTTCATTGGCACAAGACTCACCAAAGGTCCTTGTGCCCCCTGCTATGAATTAAAGGCGCAACGATATCACTGATTTATAGAAGAAAGCGGCCAAAAACAAGTTAGTTGAAGTCAGCCACAAAAGGTGAAGAACTCTTCGGTACAGAGCTTGACACACACACACTCTCTCTGATCGTAGCCCATTGGCTCTGTTTTCAGTCCTACGTCTCGTTGGTCACCTGCCATCAACATGGCATCAAGTGCCAGTGTTTGCATCAAGAAAATATCTGGTGAAGCGCACCAGTTCACCGCAGAAGCAGGAGAGACCATTGGTGCACTGAAGGCGGGACTTCCATCACCAGAGTTCTATTTGGAATGGGTTTACATATGATTTTTTTTACTTTTGAGTTCATGGCCCTGTGTGGGAATTCCAAGCTGGTTTTTGTTGTAACTTTTGAGGGGTTGGTGAGTCTGGCCCTGTCATTTGAGTTGTGCATTTTTGATCATTTTCGTTCATTGCATCAGGTTCGCCTAGCTGATCAACTCTTTGCCCCTGCAATGTGTCAGCTTTGGTTGCTGGAGACGCCTTCAGCGCTGGCAAATGAACACTCAATCCGATGCATCATCACAAGGCACGGCTGCAGCAAGATCCCGCCGCAGCGACAGGCACCTCAAGTATCACATAAGTGAGGGATGCAGTATGATGCAGTTTGTAGTCGCATCATGTCTTATCAGCTTAATAACTTGTATAGCTAATAATGCTAATAGCTCTGTATCCGTACCTGTGTCCTGCAAAGCACAGATTTAATCCACTGCGATTCATTTCAGACACGACAGCGCACGGGTTCTCACTGCACGCTGCGTGTACCCCAGTAAGTTGACATTTAGCCGTGCTTCCGCCAGTTGTTTCATTTTGATTCATATTGTTCCTTGTCTTTTTTTTGACACAGGGAAGTTGGCAACCATGCTGTTGCAAGGGCTCTCGGCTCAGATTGCAAAGATTTAGATCTGTAATCCGCTCGCTTAATATTTCTTGCCCACAAACATGGCCGTCTCCCTCGCTGTCTTTGGAATCTTCGCAGTGGTTCCAGCTGCAGCTGCGACCTGCAGCGGCAATGATGTCAACATTTGGTCGACGAAAGGCTCTGCAGCCTTCTCGGACGATATGGAGTCTGGTCTAGATAAGCAAACTTGTTCAAACTATTGCGTGCTATTGCTAACCCGTTTTTCTCTTCATACATGATCACACAGGGTGAACTGTCAAGCAAATTCAATTCAATCCTGAGCACCAACGCACACACACACAGAGCTTCAAGATGTTGAACATGTTCTAAATTTGGCAGCAAGAGTGGCCTGCAACGTGAGGAGACATGTGGACGCCAATGTGCTTTGTCGTCAACCGAATGTGCAAGTGAATGTGTGCAGAAACGGGAGGGTTACACTTCCTCTTGCGCAAGCTGCTTCGGTGGTGTGTTCGGGTGCACCCGAGAGCACTGCAAACTGAAGTGCGTCAGTGACTCGGTCACCGATTCGACAAGTTTGAACTTTTGAGCAATCGAGCTGTCAGCCCTAAGGGACACACCACACTCATCAACCTGAGCAGTTGACATTGTCCTTTTTTTCACACGTGCGTTGATCAAGAGCTGATCACTGTTTGGTTGCATGCTTACAAAGGCGTACTTAGCATACACACCGATACCTCAACATGTAACTTTGATTCACAGATATGGATCTTGGACTGCATGCACCAGAATGTACGGCACCAGAGGTCTGAAGGTTTGGACGTGCAACCTTGAGGTGGGCAGACTCCAGCATGCAAACAGTGCGTGAAGGATGCAGGCTGCGCCGCCAGCTTCAGCACTTGCAGTGGCTTCACCCCACCCAGCACTGCGGCCACAGCAACCAGGGCTACCAACTGCACTGGGGCTGCAGATCCACAGGCGAACGTTTGCTACGAGGGTTCAGCCAAGGAGCTGGCGCACCTGGGCCCAATTTGGCGAATACCGTGAATCATGGATCTTCACATCTCTTCACACTCTAGAATGAATAGAATGTAGCAGGCATGCGCAGGAGCTAGACGAAAAACATTAAAAACAAATGAAATGAATGGGAATGACAAGACGAGAGTGAAAACACATTTTCATCATTGGGGTGACGTACTACTGTCTCATGCGCTTACTTTCCCATCATGGTTCTGCATTTTTCTGGCAGATGTTTTTGCTAAGAACTCACAAATTATATTCTCCCAAAGCGTAATGAGTCTAAAAGCAAGCCCAGTGACAACGCCACAAAGGTGAATGATAAGGCCCATCATGAATCCTCGATGTATTCATTTCTTCCACAACTATGCATTGACAATACGCAACCTGTCACCACCTGTTGTTTTTTAAGCAAAGAAGTCACCCCATGATTGAAAAGCAAAGCCAGTCACAGTGCCACAAAAGTGGATGATGAGACCCGCCATGTATCCCTCAATAGCTTTATTTCTTCCATTTCTTTGCATATTTTGCATTGACGAGACCCTGTCGTTTTTCAAAAAAAAAAGTCATCACATGATATCGCCATAAAAGTGGATGATAGAACCCACTTCAGCTGGCCGTGTCGCAAAGGTCCTCCCACATGCACCTTTTTTAAAGAAAAATTCAAAAACGTTTTCTTTTTTAAAGAAAAAAATCTGCAACACACTTTCCTTGGAAAAACACAGGGAATCCGCGAAGGGAGCTGGAAGGGAACTGGGAAGGCAACTGGAAGGCAACTGGGAAAGGGAAAGGGAACTGGAAAAACACAGCACTTCATTCACGCTGAAGAAAAAGGAACTGGAAAAACACAGCATTTTCAATCACGCCCGGGAAAGGGAACTGGAAAAACACAGCATTTTCAATCACAGCCGGGAAAGGGAACTGGAAACCAGAGCATTTTCAATTACGCCCGGGAAAGGGAATTGGAAAAACACAGCATTTTCAATCACGCCCAAGAAACGGAGTTGGAAAAACCCAGGAATTGCAATCATGCCTAAGGAACTGAGTTGGAAAAGCACAGCAGTTGCAATCACGCCTAAGGAAAGGAAATGGAAGAAGGGCAGAAGAGAACCAGCAAAGCGCGCGTAACGACAAAACAGAAAAAACAAATTACAAACTAGGAAAAATTACCCTTCACATTCTCTGCGCTCCTGCTGACCATCGCTCCCCGTACTGTAGATGGACGAATTATTCAAACCCCTGTAATCCGATAACCCCCCGCACCCCCAATTACAATGTTGTCTTTTTGGTTTGGTTCGCTTCTTCGAATGGACGAATAAATAAAACCCTAAGATCAGGAACAAAGATACGAAACCATAACGTTGAAATTTTGGGGGACAAGGGGTAGCCTACAAGTCATGGATGTGGGGTTTGAATAATTTATCCATCTACTGTAGGATGGTGTGTGAAATTAATGAAAAGGATTAGAAGAACAAAGATGTGAGACATGCCTGGTTGACAAGACAGTGGCTCTCGGGGCTTGTGGTCGGCACATGTCAATTAGACTCGACACCTGTGATTTGTTTTGTGTGACACCAGGTACAAAGAGACCGTCCATGTGAAGGTCGAGTCTTTCAAGAATGGACAGGGCGTCATGGATCTCAATGGGTCTGGAGCTAAAAGGATCAATTGCCTCGGCAAGCAATTCACCAAACATGGGCAAGAGATCACCACAGATCTCAGTGACTGCAGCCCTGCTTTGCTGAAATTGTCGGATGTAAAGTACTGCTCCAATCAGGACATGGTGATGGTGACTGCTAGTGTTGCAGGATTTTCTGAACATCTTTCATTGAGCAAAGTGGCTTGCGAAGCAGAGATGATTGTATGAAATCAAGTCCAGCCGTTAGCCACAAAACCGCACGTGGTGTAGTGAGACAGTTTTGAATCTGTCATTTGCTCAGCTAAACCCTGAGCCCTGAGCATTTTTGAGCAAATCGTTGATCCTTGATCCGCTTTTAGTCACTAAAGTCCAAAGCTGCCATCGATGCAGTTGGTATCATAGCAGCAGTGCAGAAAAAGGCAGATTCTCATCCCTGCTGCTTCTACTTGCTACTGCACGTACGCGCACACACACACATGTATACACACCTATATGTTATGTGTTTGATACATAATAATACGTATACTTTTTTGGCCAGCGGAGGGGAAAAACACGCTAGCGTCTTTGACGCTTTTTGCTTTCTCACGTGTTAGCATATCTGTGGTGATCGAGGCAATAGAGTTCTATCTTCTTGCGTTTTGATCCAGTTATTTGCTTTAAGTTTCACATGCAACTTGCAATATGCTCTTAATGCTACGCTCTTAACTTTTACTTGTAATACGGTCTTGACGCTGCGCTTTTAACGTTTAATACTTTTAACTTTCACATGCAACTTGCAAAGCGTTTTTGATGCTACGCCCTTCACCTTCACATGCAACTTATAACTTGCAACATGCTCTTGAAGTGCTGACGGAAGTGTCCATTCTGATCCCTTATAACGCTTTTGCCCAAACGCAAAGTCAATGTAAATTCACAAGCGAAATCAAACAAGCACCCCAAATTGGGTGTTCAAAATCACATGACAATTTCTTGAGCAAATTGCTACATAGCGCTGTGGTGATATATATATATATATATATATATTGCAAAAACGCTCAGTTCGTGAGCGCAAAAAATCCCGGGCGGGATATTTTTGAATGGAGGGCTATTTTTTGGTTGACTTTTTTTTGGGGTTTTCCAGCCTGGCTTTGTGGCTTTTATGGCTTCTGTGGCTTTTGTGAGGGTTTGTGGCTTTTGCTTTACCTTGCTTTACCTATCTATTTATCTATCTAATCTATCTAATCTATCTAATCTATCTAATCTAACCTAACCAAATCTAATCTTATTTTACCGAATCTCATCTTATAACTTCTTTTATATTTAATCTAATCCGACCTAATCTAATCTAACCTAATCTCATCTTATCGTATATATCTTATCGAATCTTATCTTACATATCTAATCTATTTAATCTATCTAAACTATCTATCTATCTAATCTCATCTATTGATCTAATCTACCTATCCAATCTCATCTCATCTAATCTAAATCTCAATCTCATCAAATCTAATCTAAATCTAAACTAATCTAATCTAATCTATCTACCTATCTATCTAACCTATCTAGTCTTTCTGTCGTTCTATCTTTCCATCGGTCCATCCATCCATCCATCCATCCATCCATCCATCCATCTATCCATCTATCCATCTATCCATCTATCCATCTATCCATCTATCGATCTATCTATCGATCGATCTGTCTACCTATCTATCTATTTGTCTATCTATCTATCTATCTATCTATCTACCTTTATATACACACCTTGTATCCCTACATGTCCCTAATCCAACCCTCAACAGACTTTAAAAGCATCCTAAACCAACCCTAAGTAGCCCTAAATAACCCTAACAAAACCCTAAACCAACCCGAAATAAACTTTGAATATATCTTGAACCAACCCCAAAGAAACCCTAAACCAACCCGACATAACCAACCCTAAATAAACCCTAAACCAACCCTAAACTAAATAACCCTAAGCCAACCCTAAATAAACCCTAAACCAGCTTCAGATAAACCCTAAACCAACCCTAGATGAACATTACACCAACCCTAAATAAACCCTAAACCAAACTTAAATGACCCTAAACCAACCACAAAGCAACCCTAAATAAACCAACCCTAAATAAACCTAAGCCAACCCTAAGTAACCCCAAATAAACCCTAAACCAACACTAAATAAATTTGAAATAAACCCTAAATCAACCCTAAATAAACACTAAACCAACCCTAAATAAATCTAAGCCAACCCTAAGTAACCCTAAATAAACCTTAAACCAACAAATAAACTTGAAATAAACCCTAAATCAACCCTAAATAAACACTAAACCAACCCTAAATAAACCCTAAACCAACCCTAAATAAAGACCAAGCCACTGTTTTTTTTTGAACTGGTCGTTTTTTTAAACTGGTTCTGAAAAAGCCCAGCAAGAGCAAGCAAGCAACACCGGTCGGAATGGTTCGGATTTTCTCTATGGGCTCAGGGCTTTAGGTTGGCATGGTCCTGGTGTGCTGTGGGGGCGTGTGCTTTCTGGATATGTTGTTTTGTGCGGCTAGGGTTGCAGGGTTTCAGTTGGAGGTGGCGGTGGTGTGCTGAGCTGGCGAGTACTGCTGGGTGGAAGGGCTTCAGGTTGACGTGGTTTTTCGCCATGGGGCGGTTTCCTCTTGACAGGGCGGCGGGTTGCTGGATGGCATGGTTTGTTGGGGGCAGGGCTCTTGGTAGACATGGGTTGCATGTGGCCGCGGTGTGCTAAGCAAAGCTGGAGAGTACTGCTGGGTAAAGGGTTTCAGGTTGACGTTTGTTGGCGGGAGGGCTCTTGGTAGACATGGGTTGCATGTGGCCGTGGTGTGCCAAGCTGGCGAGTACTGCTGAGTGGAAGGGCTTCAGGTTGACGTGGTTTGTCGTCGTGGGGCGGTTTCTTTTTGACAGGGCGGCGGGTTGCTGGATGGCATGGTTTGTGGGGGGCAGGGCTCTTGGTAGACAGGGGTTGCGTGTGGCCGTGGTGTGCGAAGCTGGCGAGTGCTGCTGGGTGAAGGGCTTCTGGCTGGCGTGGTTTGCCGCCAGGGCGGCGGGTTGCTGGATGGCATGGTTTGTTGGGGGCAGGGCTCTTGGTAGACATGCCCTATAGGTCAGGCAAGGCTATTTGGAGCAAAATAGGTAACTCTAAAAAAAAATACGTTGATGAAGATAATTTGTGCATTTTTAATGTTAACTATTTGTTTAAAAATACCTTTGAAGTTAACTACTCAAAACATTTTCAAGGTAATTTTTAAATGTTCTTGCTTTTCACTTAATTTTACATATATATTTATGTTTTTTTAAATATATGGTATGTGTTTGATGTTCTCTTGGGGTTACTATGTTACTATATATGTGCTGCTGACATATGTGCATGGGGGTTACTTCATGTATTTTGACAAGGTCTCTTTTTTTCCTTGGCACTTGGATTGGATCAAATGATTTGATCATGGGTAGTGCTTGTGTCACTGACAAAATTTATGAAACAAGAGCATGGCAAAAATGAGGAAAAGTCAGAAAAGGCATGAAACAAGATTATGGCAATCATGAACCAGTCATACTTGGCAATGAAACATTGTCCAAGCATGCATTCTGTCTTTGAAAGCTCAGTGAGGGCATCCTTCAAAGTATCATTGATTTTTGGTCTTTCTTGTCTCTACCCAGTCGCTCCTGAACCACTTTGGTTTCTTTGATGTCATGCTGCACACTTGCCCAGCTCAGTTTAACAGGAGCATCAGAAATCGCTTTGGGAAATGCTGAGAATGAAGTAACCACAGCTGGTGTAGAGGAAGCACTGCTACCACTACCACAACTACCACTACCACCACAACTAGCTCCAGTGCCAAACTGGCTCCAGGGCCTGCTCGACATGAATTGACTCACCTGCGAACTCTCATCCTTGGTGAGGTTGGCTTGGCCACCATGCAAGACCATGGCAGGGCACAATGGCTGTGGCTATTGTCTTGACATGATAGTAACCATCTTTCTGATAGACATCACCTCGTCTTTCTGCATCATTCAAAGCTGGCTGGTTTCCCCGGATTTTGTCCACAACCTAAGCCAACCCAGTAATCTGAGATTTGTTGCAAATCTCAGAGTTCTTCTTGAAAACTGCGAACGCTGGGTATTTCCAGGAGCAAACAGAGACTCGCCTCTGGTGTTCTGCTGAAAGACTGTGTTGATGAATTGGCTCTTAAATAACCTTGGGGGAGGAGAATTCTTGGAGCCCTCTTCTTCATAGAGCTGCTGAAGATCTTCTGGCACCTGGCCACTTTTGATCATTCTGGCACATTTCCTTACCTTGTGGTAGCTTCGATGCTCATCATCAGCAACTGTTGCATCCTCCTCTTTAGGCTCCTCATCTTCTCCTTCTGCATGGTCATCAGGAACTGGCTCATCCCTGGTCTTCTTCCATCCTGCTGCCATCTCCTTGACAGTCTTCGCTTTGGCCTTGGCTTTCGCCTTCAGCTGCATCAGGTCTTGTCAGGATTTTCTTCATTGTGCTCTTGGCTTTTGCCTTTTGAGCTTTCATTGGCGAAGAAGTAACCCCAGGAGCTTTGCTGGCAGCTGCCATGGCTTTACCTGCTGCCTTTGCCTTGACTTTAGATTTTGCTTTCACCTTGGCTTTGGCCTTTGCCTTTGGTGCTGCAGTATCTAAGAATCTAAGTCAGCTCATGGGACGGTTTCTTCTGGAGAAGCCTGTTCTATAGATTCTGGTGCTGGTTCAGGTGGGGGCAAAATGCAAGCATAGCATCAGGTGGACAGGCCTCTTCATGAGGTTACCAACAGGGGCGACAAGTGACAAGTAACTTCAATCTTGAGCACCAGTGTGCTACACAGATGGTATATGCAATTGGGGGTGTCTCAAAATAGGGGGCCCCAAGCAAAACTTAAAAAAGTAGAACTGGAGATGTCTCAAAACGTCTGAAAATTGGTTCCCGAAACCGAAGCCTAAAATGTTCAAAAACTGGTTCCACTTTGGTACCTAGGAAAATGAAAGGTGCTTTAAGCCATCTTAAGGTACCTTTCATTTTTGAAAAAATAAAATCTTAAAGAAATAGACATGGAGATGTCTCAAAATGTCTAGAGCAATTATTTTATTGCAATTTCAGTATTGTACATATGTATTGTACATATCTTGTCTGTTTTGTTATTTGTGTGCTGCTCTTGTCCTATGATTATTTTGATGAAACTCTAGGACGTAATGTGCCTAAATATCACTGTGGCTATATATATATATTTATATTTATGTATGTATAAATACACATGTATTCAGGTGGTGTGGTGTTATTAGTCATTAGTTGGCTTGGGGTTGCCAACCAACCCTATAGGGTACCTTGTAAAATGGAAGGTGTTTTAAGCCCCCCTTAAGGTACCTTTTATTGTTTTTGCAAAATAAAACGAAAAAAATAGAAATGGGAATATCTCAAAAATGTCTAGTGCAAATATCTGATTATAGTTTCTGTATTGTACATGTGTTTTTTCCTTTTGTTATTTATGTATGTTCACCTAATGTAATTGCTCTTGCCCTATGATTTTTTGATGACATTTTAAGGCATAATGAAAAATGTGACATAATGTACCCGCATACTAATGTGGAGGTATATGTGTATTCATGTGGTGTGGGGTTATTATTTGGCTTGGGGCCTGGGGTTACTGTTTGCAAACTAAACCCATTGCATGCCAACCAACCCTATTAGGTACTTTGTAAAATAAAACGGTGCTTTAAGCCCCCTTAAGGTACCTTGTCATTTTTTGGGAAAACATCAAACAAATAGACATATAGATGTCTCAAAATGCCTAAGGCAAATGTTTGATTACAGTTTCAGTATTGTACATGTGCTTGTTGGTGTGTTATTTATGTATGTTCACCTAATGTAGCTGCTCTTGTCCTAGGATTTTTTGATGCAACTTCAATACATAATGTACCCAAATACTACTGTGGAAATATGAGTGGAGTATTCATTTGGTGTGGGGTTATAATTTGGTTTGGGGTTACTGCATTGCAAACTAAAACCATTGCATGACAACCAACCTATGTTTGTTTTTTGGAAACACACGGCATTCAATCAAACACAAACCATGGTTGGTACTACATGTTTATCTAAAAACAATGCAACAATAACCTTCGTTTTTTATTTTATTTTTTGAATGAAAAAAACTTAATAATAATAACCTATATTTGGGGTTACTTCTTTTCAAATTATCCCAGCAATAGATCCCTGTGGTTATTTGTGAGCAAACCAAGGCACCAAAAAAAACATATTTTCTATTACGGCCCACAGTGTACTTTGCACAGCAAATTTGGTTTCTACTTCCTTTGGTATGTTGTTTTTAAAGATTTCTTTCAACCAATAACATATATGAAACCTATGTTTTGAAAAAAAATATTGAAATGAAAAAATCATTTTACTGAAACAAAAAAACGTGGTTTTCATGAAAATAAACACTATTTTTTTTAAAAAAAAACAAGTTTTCTCTTTATTTGTTGTTTCCTGCCCTGAAAGTTTGTTGAAAATTTGTTGCAAACTTTCAGTCAAACTTTCAGGGGGGGTTGCAAGTTTGACTGAAACTTTCAATGCAAACTTGCAGGGCTGGATTGGAAGTTTCAATGCAAACTTTCAAGGCTGGATTGAAAGTTTAAAGAAACTTGCAGGGCTACACTGAAAATATGTATTTTTGGTGCCTTGGTTTGCTCACAAATAACCACAGGAATCTATTGTTGGGATCATTTTAAAAGAAGTAACCCCAAATATAGGTTACTATTTTTTGTAAGTGTTTTTCTCATTTAAAAAAAACAAACCAATGGTTGTTTATTGTGCAAATTGTTTTGACATGTTGCGCCCACCATGTTTAAATGTGTTTTTAAAAATAACCCAAAGCATGGTTTGGTTGTCATGCATTGGTTTTGGTTTGCAATGCAGTAACCCCAAACCAAATTATAACCCCACACCAAATGAATACTCCACTCATATTTCCACAGTAGTATTTGGGTACATTATGTATTGAAGTTGCATCAAAAAATCCTAGGACAAGAGCAGCTACATTAGGTGAACATACATAAATAACACACCAACAAGCACATGTACAATACTGAAACTGTAATCAAACATTTGCCTTAGGCATTTTGAGACATCTATATGTCTATTTGTTTGATGTTTTCCCAAAAAAATGACAAGGTACCTTAAGGGGGCTTAAAGCACCGTTCTATTTTACAAAGTACCTAATAGGGTTGGTTGGCATGCAATGGGTTTAGTTTGCAAACAGTAACCCCAGGCCCCAAGCCAAATAATAACCCCACACCACATGAATACACATATACCTCCACATTAGTATGCGGGTACATTATGTCACATTTTTCATTATGCCTTAAAATGTCATCAAAAAATCATAGGGCAAGAGCAATTACATTAGGTGAACATACATAAATAACAAAAAAACACATGTACAATACAGAAACTATAATCAGATATTTGCACTAGACATTTTTGGGGCATTCCCATTTCTGTTTTTTGTTTTTTAGCAAGGTACCTTAAGGGGGGTTTAAAGCACCTTTCATTTTACGAAGTACCTAATAGGGTTGGTTGGCATGCAATGGGTTTGGTTTGCAAAACTGTAACCCCAAGCCAACCAATAACACCACACCAAATGAATACACATATATCTCTACATTAGTATTTGGGTACATTACGCCTTAAAGTTTCAAAAAAACCTAGGACAAGAGCAATTACATTAGGTGAACATATATCAAAAACAAAACAAAAAACCACATGTACAACACTGAAACTGTAATATTTTTTTTGCCACATATACCATCACTGATTATTGAGTGAATACATATATATATATATACATACTGTGTATATATATATATAAAAATACTATTTATTTGTTCATTTATTGTTTTTTGTTATTCATTCTTTGCATAAATATAAAATATTATATGTTTATTGTTCTATTTATTTATTTATCTTGTTAATGTTTTTGAACACGAACCACTTCTTAAAGTCGCAGCATATCTTTAAGTATTGTTTTCCATTATTGCATGCATAGGACAAATATTAATTTCACAAAAACATATTACCACCCAAAAATAAGAAAATCTCATGCAACACCTTTTGTGAATGATAAATAGCACAATGGTTGGTTGATACATGCACGAGGTCTTTGGTATTTGGGCTACTTTTTTGGTGAAAGGTTGGAAATTCTGTCAAGTGTACAAGTGCATGTACCATCTATGTAGCACAGTGGTGCTCAAGATTGAAGTTACTTGTCACTTGTCGCCCCTGTTGGTAACCTCATGAAGAGGCCTGTCCACCTGATGCTATGCTTGCTTTTGCCTCCACCTGAACCAGCACCAGAATCTGTAGAACAGGCTTCTCCAGAAGAAGCTGCCCCATAAGCTGACTTAGATACTTAGATACTGCAGCACAGGCCAAAGCCAAGGTGAAAGCAAAATCTAAAGTCAAGGCAAAGGCAGCAGGTAAAGCCAAGGCTGCTGCCAGCACAGCTCCTGGGGTTACTTCTTCGCCAATGAAAGCTCAAAAGGCAAAAGCCAAGAGCACAATGAAGAAAATCCGGAAAAGACCTGATGCAGCTGAAGGCGAAGCCAAGGCCAAAGCGAAGACTGTCAAGGAGATGGCAGCAGGATGGAAGAAGACCAGGGATGAGCCAGTTCCTGATGACCATGCAGAAGGAGAAGATGAGGAGCCTACAGAGGAGGATGCAACAGTTACCCCAAGGTAAGGAAATGTGCCAGAATGATCAAAAGTGGCCAGGTGCCAGAAGATCTTCAGCAGCTCTATGAAGAGGGCTCCAAGAATTCTCCTCCCCCAAGGTTATTTAAGAGCCAATTCATCAACACAGTCTTTCAGCAGAACACCAGAGGCGAGTCTGTGTTTGCTCCTGGAAATACCCAGTGCGAGGTTTTCAAGAAGAACTCTGAGATTTGCACCAACAAATCTCAGGTTACTGGGTTGCCTCACTCCATCATGTCGTGGAAAAAATCAAGTGAAACCAGCAAGCTTTGAATGAGCAGAAAGACGAGGTGATGTCTATCAGAAAGATGGTTACTATCATGTCAGGACAATAGCCACAGCCATTGAGAAGAAGCAGGGCAGTTCCATGGTCTTGCATGGTGGCCAAGCCAACCTCAACAAGGATGAGTTATTCGCAGATGAGTCAATTCATGTCGAGCAGGCCCTGGAGCCAGTTTGGCACTGGAGCTAATTGTGGTGGTAGTGGTATTGGTAGTGGTAGTTGTGGTAGTGGTAGCAGTGCTTCCTCTACACCAGCTGTGGTTACTTCTTCCTCAGCATTGCCAAAAGCGATTTGTGATGCTCCTGTGAAACTGAGCAGGGCAAGTGCTCCCAGGAGCGACTGGGCAGAGATTGTCAAAGACCGGCTGTCAAAATATTTGACAAGAAAGACCAAAAACTCAATTATACTTTGATGGATGTCCTCACCGAGCTTTCAAAGACAGAATGTATGCTTGGGGTTACTTCATTGTAGCTTTGATGTTGTATAACATATCTTCAAAACATCCAATCAGATTTGATCTTCACAAATAAAAACTTTGATTTGCTCAAACAAGTATAAGTTCAAACAATATATATTTTTTGCACTTCCTGTAATCATGTAGGACTGACTTCACACAAAACCAAGAAACATATTGTTAAAAGACCTTTCAGACAATTGGTAATGGTCACTTTACTATGGTACAATGTTGAGAACATGTCGAAATTCATTATCTTTTTTCCAATCAAAAAAGTACACAATTTCAAGGTAATTTTTGCAGGTCATGTTTCCCAAAAATTACCTTGAACTGTACCCTTACAAATAAACTATGAAGTTAAAAATATTCGTCCACCAACCGTTTGGGGGCTATTTGGGACCCTCAGTGAATCCCACCACAGCTTCGCGGCTATGGTTCACCCAAGAATCCTTTGGGGGTCTCACCAACCTCCAGGTCCCAGGGCAGCTTCCGCAGCTCTGTGCTGCTTTTTGAGCTCGAAAACGGCTGTGCACAAGTCGTTGTGCGTGTCATCCTTGCAGCAGGGGCCGTGTCAACCCTTGGTGCTATGCTACATGTTATGGGGATCTGCACTCCCCCTGGATGGCTATCGCCAGGTAGGCAGCCACCCTCTCTGAAAATCGCTGGATGCTCGCTTCTGGCAGCGGAGCACCCCTACAAAACATCTGCCCAGCTCAAGCCGTGTTTTGGAATCCTCATGATTCCTCAATTTCCAAACACATGTTACAAATCTGGTACTGTCTGGCACTGGGGTGGCAATCACCGTTGGCATGAGCGGTCCTACCAGGCCCTATACAAAACACTGGTTCTCTCAGTCCCACTCCGTCCGGTGCACAGGCAACGCACCATGGAGACATCGTGAGATTCCGAGAGTTCGCCAGCGTCGGGCAGAACCTATGGGTGTGGAACCTTGTGCCCCACGGCGTGACTATCGGCCTAAACCCCTCATCGCCGCCGCCTTTCTTTCCTTTTCCACCTCCACCATCTTCTCGGCTTCCCTTCGCTCTTCCTTTGGCAGCCATCAGGTCGCCCTTTCCCACCACGTTGGCCGGCTCCTCATTTGGGTCAAGCTCGACCTCCATCATCATCCCACCACCCAACAGCGGCATGCTGCTGGTAGCGGAGCTGGCTGCTCCAAACCCGCGGCCATACCCCAGGTCACATGCCATAGACCTCCGCAGGGGCGATGTGGTCGGCCATGGTGTTGATGGTGCCGTCCTTGGTGTCTGTGGGACCCTTGGGGCTGTCGCCTTTGGTGTGTGTGGAATCCTCTGTGTTGAGGATGCTGCTTGGCCTGTTGATGGCCTGCTGGTGGGTGTGTGGCAGGGTAGCCTCGCCATGGCTATGGCTGCTGCCAGTCTTCCTTCTGCCTCTTCTTCTTCTTCCAGCCTCTGTCGCAGCTCTTCCCGATCTCTTCGGGCTTCTTCATCTTCCTCTTCATCTTCTGCTGCCCTCGCTTTCGCCTTCGGCTTCATCTTCGCCTTGGCTGCTCGCCTCTTTGGCTGTGCTTTCGCTTCAGCGGCGTGGCTACTCCTGGCTTCTGCCACTCTTCGCCACAGCGCTTCTTCCTCCTCTCTTTCTTCTTCTTCATCCTTCTGCTGCTGTCTTTCCACATCCCTCGCATGCCGTGCTCGGATGCGGTCTTTCGCCTCTGCTAGGCGGATCCTCACCATCAGCCACTGCACGAAGAACACCGTGCAGCGAATGCACGCCACCAGGCCTAGTGCTGCAAATGCCAGCAGCACCAGGAAGATCCAGTCAGGACCATATGGCCTTCTTTCTTCATCTCCTGGCTGTGCTTCTGTCTGCGTCAGCTGAGAGATCAGCATGATCATCTGCAGGATCTTCGCTCCTTCTTTGAGCTTCTCCTCTGTCTGGGCCTTGACCTTCATCGTCTTCGCCCCTTCTGTCTTCTCCTCTGTCTCCTCAGCTTTGGCTTCAGCTTTAGCTTCAGCTTTGGCTTCAGCTTTGGCTTGGGCTTCAGCTTTCTCCTTCTTTGGCAGTCCTGCCATGCCTGCCAGCTTCTTCAGGTGTTCAAACCTTTGGGCTGAGAGGGCTTTCGTCCCCATGTCAGAAGGCATCTGTGCCCCTGGGACGTGGATCACCATCCAGTCTGCCTTCTCAATCCTCCATCTCACATTCTTGGCCTTCATTCGGAGGTATCTCGTCCTCCAACTGCCATGGGGGTCAGACAGGATGCTGGTCGCTGCCTGATTGTCTGTGAGTGCTGTGCAGCGGAGCATCTTCTCCTCATCTTCTTTGATCTCCTCCACCACGACTCGAATTGAGTCTCCCAGCACCAATCCTTCCACTATCTCCCCCAGTTCCGCCTCAGCGGTAGACAGGGCAATCGCTCCCTGTTTGCTTGACTTCCAAGCAATGGGTGATCCTCCAACCTTCACGATGGAGCATCCTTGGCAGTCTTCTCCGAAGGAGGCGTCGGTGAAGCTTTGGAGCCCTTCTTCTTCATCTTTGGCTGTGAAGAGCAGGCCATCATCGATTGTGGCTGCGAGGTAGCCCCAAACTTGAGCTGCTACCTGCTTGACCTCTCTCGGTCGCTTCAGGATGTTTGATGCCAGCAGTGAGACTGGATACATCAAGTCCATCCGGCTCCTCGTCACCAGCCACATCAGCTCACCGACAATCCTCTCTCCTTCACGGACATCTTCAATCTTCTTCTCTTCCTCCTCCGGCCCTGTGAACCACTCTCGGCCCACTGGCACCTTCTTCTTTGGCCATCCTGCTTCATCCTTCCCCAGGTTCCTCTGAAGCAGGTCATAGGTGTACCCTCTCTGGGTGGCCATCCAGTCTCCGTTCTTGAGCTTCCATAGCTCCATCCCGAGGAATCTCACCCCGGCTTCATCATCAATCTCTTCTGGTGGGCTTGTCTCCCACAGGCTTCTGATCGTGCCGATCACTGCTTCCAGGGCTTCTGTCTCCCCCAGGATCAACAGATCATCAACGTAGACGACCAGGAGGGCCTTCATCTCGCTGGTGTCTTCATCCTTCACCTTCCAGATATTGGGCTCTGAGACCATGGGCTCTAACCTGAGCTTGACCCCTCTTTCGGTCTGGATCTTCAACCTCCTCATGGTGAAGTCCCGGAAGTCACTCCATCTTCTTGGTGACTCCCTGAAGCCATAGAAGGCTCTCACTGCCTCCCACAGTTCATCAGGCTTGGCGAGTCCCATCTGGATGAGAAACATCGGCTTCACCAGCACTCTGTGTGCTCGGAGCTCCTCTGTCCTTCCTTCCTCTGGCCCTTTTCCTTCTTCCTTCTCCTTCAGCTTCCTTTCTTCTGCCTCCTCATCAAGCTCCATCGGCGCATTCAGGAACGCCGTTCGGATGTCCATTGACTTCCCGGACCATCCTCTTTTGGCTGCTTCATCTACAGCCAGCCGCACGGCTATGGCGTCTGAGCCTGACGCAAAGAGCTCATTCTTGTCAGCTCCTTCAGCCGTCACAAAGTTGCCGCAGGCAACAATTCGGACTTTTCTTTTCCCCTTTGGATTGGTGGGATCAGGCTTCAAGGTGCATACGAGCTTGGACGGAATGATGTCCAACTCGCCCTTCTTCTTCCTCTCCTCCATCTCCTCTGGCGAAACCTTCCTAAGAGCACCCTTCGTCTCAAACAGAGACCTGATCTCATTCTCCACCGCTTCCTTCCATTTGGGGAAGTCCCTTCTGACTTCTTGCATCCCCACCACCTTTGTTTGGAGCACTTCATCTGGAGCTTCCTCCTCTGAAAACTTCCTCAACTTCCAGAGCTCCTTCATGGTGATGTGGACATTGGCTTCGTCATCTTCCATGACTCTGCCCATCTCATCTCGGATCACTTCTTGGATCCTTCTCATCTTCACGCGTCTTTCCTCCTCCTCTTCCTCTTCTTTGGGAGCCTTCAGCTGCCGGACTGTCATCTTGCTTCTTAGCCTTCTTCTCACCTGGACTGGATTGGTCTCATTCTCCAATGCAATCCACTTTTCATCGGTGATGGGCTCTTGGACGTTCTTCATCACCGTCCTTGACAGCCGGTCCCATCCTTGGTCATCACGGATGTAGTGCCCGTGTGACTCCCATGCTGGGAAAAGGTATGTCACCATCTCTTGTGATGGCTCAAGTTCTTGTGATCGCCAGTGGCGCTTCCTCACCAGCACCTTGGCAAAGAATGGCGGCCAAGTGATCTTCTTGTCTTGGCGGGCCACTTGTAGTGCTTCATTGAGGTGTCTTGCGGCCAGCGGCCAATGGTCAACTCCAAGGCCTGCTTGTAGGAGCATGACCCTGATCTTGGCTTTGACTTCTTGGACGGCCCTTTCGCATCGGCCATTACATTGGGGATCATCTCCAGGCGTCCATGTCTTCAAGATCGCTCTGGCTTCCCACCACTTCTGGAACTTCACGTTGTCAAACTCACCACCTCTGTCGGTGTGAATCTGGTTCACCACAAAACCTTCAGACCTCAAGCGGAGGTAGAAGAGCTGCACTGCTCTTACAATGTCCTCAGCGAGCTTCGTCGCTATGGGTAGAACCATCCGGCAGTATCGGATCTTCACCCCGCCATCGTCTTCTTCTTCTTCGCCATCTGTTGGCTTTGGCTGCTTGTGTGTGTCTTCTTGTGCTGCTTCGGGCTCTCTCACCCTGCTTGTATCTGCTTGTGCTGCTTCGGGCTCTCTCACCCTGCCAGCGTCTTCTTCGGGCTCACTCACCCTGCCTGCATCTTCTTCGGCCGGCACTCTCGCCGCCTCTTCTTCATCTGTGTCATTGAAGATTCCACCCTCTATGGGCTCTCCTCTCTGTGGCCTCTGGGCCTCTTCTGCCGCTCTCTCGGCATCTCCTTCTTCTTTCCACTTCTTTCTTTCTTCTTCTTCTTTTCTCATCGCCAGGTCATCCTTTCTTGGCCGTCCTCTGGGTCTCTTCTCTGGATCCACCTCCCCATCCCCTTCTTCAAGGTCTGGTGCTTCGTCTGGCACTTCCACCTCCTCTTCATCCGGGGCAGGGTGGCCACCGGGTCGTGGATCAATCCACGTATAGACCCCGACCAGCAGGAACTTGGCGTGAGTTCCTTTGAGAATGTCTTTGGCCCTCTTGAAGGGTCCAGACAGGTCTAGGGAGAGCACCCCTGCTCTGGCATGTCCTGCTTTGCGGTGTGGTGATGCTTTTGCCATGGCTTCTTGGCAAATGCGGCAATCCCTTCTGAAGGGTGTGTGGTTTGCGCGGACGTGCTCGTCCCAGCTGAGTGGTCTCATCTTGGGCTTTCTGCCGCAGACCTTCTCCACCACCTGCTCTGCCAGGGCTCTCATCATGCCAGGCGCCCATCGGGCTAACTGCCTTGATTCCTTCAGCAGCTCTTCTGGGGTCTTTCCTTTAACCTCCCTCTTCTTTCCTCCTGGGATCCTTGGTGGAGCTTCCACTTCAATGGTTCCTCCCACCGTCGTCGGCTTGTGAGCCTTGCCTCCCCAATTCCATTGGTCGAAGGTGGACTCCTTGAAGCCATAAATCTTCACCATCATCTTCCAGATCCCTGTCTTCCACCAACTTACCACCTCCTCTTCTTTTGGCACCGCTGGCTGTTCGATGGCGAACTGAGTGGGTGTCTTCACACCGTTCACCTTCCGGACTTCTTCCGCCACGACGAACAGCATGATCATCCTGAGCATCAGGATGTCATCTTCTTCGACCCTCTGCCTCTCCTTTTCGGTGAGATCCTTCCTCCCCCATTCCTGGTCTTCATGCCAACTCCTCAGGGGTCTTGGTCCCCATTCCTTCTCACCGAGAGGTCTGTGCCGCAAGACGCTCCTTGTACGGCAATTGGGTCCACCCATCACCATCTTCAGCCAACCTTTGAGTGCCAAGCGCAACAGCGCCGGGAATGCTTTGCCTTGAGGCAGCATGTCCCACTTGGGGTCTCTGAGACAGTCCACCTCGAGGACCAAACTCTTGTCTCCCCCCACTTCATGAAAGGCACGTCTGAACGTATACCCTTCGTCTTTACCTGCATAGAGATGCAGAATGAGGCCTTCTTTAGCCCACTTCTTCCTCTGTCTTCGATTGCCACACATGGCAACATCATCTGCTGGTGGTTCGAGGATCTTCTTCCTCAGATCTTCTGGGATTTTCCTGAAGGCTGGGTGCTCCTTCAGGATCCTTTGTAACCATTCCATCTCCTCATGCTTTGCTTGTTGCTCCTCCTGCTCATGTGGTGTCTTCGGCCTGATGGACCGGACCTTCTCCTCGATCTCCTCGATGAGCATCAGGGCGTCGTCTCTTGAAACTTCAGGGCATCCTCCACGAAGAACCACCTCCAGTTTCCCTTTCTTGGGATGTGTCACACGGACTTCATCTTCATCCCAGGAAACCCTACATCCCAAAAGATCTACCACCATCCCCATTGGCACGATCGGCTCTGTGCCTGGGTTCTTGGCCACCATGATGCCTTCCTTGGTCACATGGAGTGTGGCCTCCTTTCCTCCGGCTAAGGAGACTGTCACCTCCTTGTAGCCCTTCATCTTCTCTCCTTCGCGCCTCCCCCTCAATGGGTGAGTTGCGCCTGAGTCCAAAAGGCCTCTGGCACCTCCTTCTTGAAGCCTTGCCAGTCTGAGGACCTTAACGGACTTCAGCTCATCCAGCTGCTTCTGGAGCTGGTCAATCTTCGTCTCCTTGTTGCTGTCTGCTTCTTTGGTGATCTTTCTGAGCATCCTGTTGGCTTCTTCCATCAACTCCTTGATCACCTGTCCTTTGCCGCTCTCGGCATCTTGATCTTCTCTCTTTGGCTTCTCTTCTTCTTTCTCTTTCTTCCCATCTGGGGAATCTTCATCTTTCTTCTTCAAGCTTCGTGCACCCTTTCCTTCACCCTTGGACTCCTTCTGCCCTTCGGGGTTTCTGAACGAAGGTCTTGGGCACTTGTCTGCAAAGTGGTCTTTTCCACCGCAGTTCCAGCACCTCTTCTGGTCATCAACCTGGTGCTGCCATTGGCAACCTTTGCCCTTCTTACAGCCGTGCTCCGTCAGGAAGAAACGGCAAACGTCTCCGGGTCTGGCATCCTTGCCTTTCCCATCTCCTTTGTATCCTCCACCAGCCTCCTTCCCTTCGAGCTTCTTCAGCCTGGGCTCCTGCTTCAGGGGGTTCTGCTCTCTCGGGGGGGTTGCCTTCTTGGGCATGCCGGTGTGGGGGTCAAGGTGTGCTATCTGCTCTAACTCGGCCATCAGGTGCGTTGCAAATGCACCAACCGACTTGGATGTGGGGTTGCTGTCAACCTGAAGGTTGTTCCTTGCCAGGCTCACTCTGAAGCTCAGCTCCTTGTTCATCTCGAGGCTCTTCTTGACCACCTTGCCAAGCCCCTTTAGCAAGATGAACGGGTCCGGCTCGGACACAGCCAACTCACCTGCTCTTCTTCTCCATCTCATCCACTTCCGGAGCCCTTGCAGTGCGTCTGGCACCGTCTGTGCTTCAGGCGGGTTCTCCAGATTGGAGAGGATGACTTCCTTCTCAGCCAATCCTCCTGGCTGATATGTCACCAGCAGGTGACACAACACCTTCATCACTGTCAGGCGTTTGGCGCTCACCATCTCCTCACGTTGTGCCTCTGGCACCGCCTGCAGCATCATCATACTTGCACGGCGCTCAAGCCGCGTCCATCTTGGGTCTTCCAGCTCTTTGCTGGGAAGGGCTTCATGATGGATCCTTTCCATCGGGGACATCTGTTGGTGGGTGGCATACCATGCCTGGGCTTCTTGGACCAGCAGCTGCCACCACTTCAGGCTCGTCGCGGTGAGGTCTGACATCACGGGGTCCACCAACGACAGCCAGTCATTCAGGTCAATGGGGGCATTGACATGATGCCATGGTGGGAGACGAGGCAGTTCTGGCTGTCCTCGCACCCATTCCACACCTCCTGCCAATCCCTTCTCCTCATCCTTATCCTTCAGCTCTCTCTCGAGCATCTTCTTCTGAATCTCCTGCATGTTCCTCATCATTGCCAAGAGTGCCTTCATGGACATCTCTCTCTCCTCATCCTTAATTCCACCACCCGCTCCTCCATCTCTGCCTCCGGTCTTGACCTCCTCACTTCTGGGCTCCTCTGGCGTGGCGAAGGGATCTTCCGGGGGTGAAGGCGGCGTGTGGATGGCGATCTCATGGGGCGGACACGGTGTCTTCATCCACCTGTCCTCAACATCAACTCCTGGTGGGGGCGTCGGCCTTCTTCCCTCAGTTGGGGGTCTCAGCCTCCTTTCGTCTTCTGGGGGTCTCAGCCTCCTCAACTCTTCAACCACCCTGCGAAGCTCGGCATTCTCTGAGCGCCAGTGAGCTTCGTTCTCAGCGGTCTCAAACAACATCTTCTGCAGCAAGGTCTTCTCTTCCTGCTGCTCTGCCATTCGAAGCTTCACATCATCCATGAAGCCATGCATCCTATCGAGTTCTCGCTCGTAGGACTTCATCTCCTCAACCCTGGGGATGCTCTGTGATTCCTCCAGGAACTTCTCAACCCTGGGGATGCTCTGTGCGTCCTCCAGGAACTTCGGCCTTGCAGCCTCTTCACATTCTCTTCTGGCTCGTGCTGTGTCCAGAAGTGGGGCTTGGGCTCGCAGCGCATCCATCTTGGCTGCTTGCTCAGGGGTGAACAGCGGCCCAAAGGACTGAGGCTTCCCCCTTGGTCCCATGACTGCTACTTCTTTGGGGGTCTCTGTGACCTTCCCTCCCCTTGCCGTTGGTGTGAAAAACGATCTCCCTGGCGTCTCCCCACCCCCAACACCCTCCCCTCCATTTGGCACCACACTCCCGCCAGTCCTCGGGGCTTCTGTCGTCCTCGAGGCTCCTTCATCAACTCCCTTTTGGGCGTCCTCTGTGGCTTCACCCGGGAAATCTTTTGGTCTTGCTCCCGTCTGGGCGTCCTCCTTGGCTTCACCTGTTCGGGCAGCAGTTCTTACTCCCAACTGGGCGTCCTCCTTGGCTTCACCCTTTGGGAAATCTTTCAATCTTGCTCCCGTCTGGGCGTCCTCCTTGGCTTCACCTTTTCGGGCAGCATCAGCGGCGTCTTCAATCGCCATCAATCTTCTTCCATCACCTTCGCGGGCTTTGGAATCGGCTCCCTCTTGGGATCCATGATCGGGCCCTTCAGCACCCTCAGCAGGTTGGGGCTCCGACCTCCTCCTCCGTACATCCATTGCGTCAGGTTTGGGCTCGTAACCTATTCGCCCACCAACCTTACACAGGCTACTGGGGGTATTGGTTCCTCCCGGCTCAGTGCCAGGTCTCAATCCCAAAACCGCTTTGGGGGTTCTCCTCAAACCCACGGCCTGGGCTCCCACCTCTCACGCAGCTCAGCGCTGCCTTTTTTGAGGCAAAACGGCTATGCACAAAGGTCCTTGTGCGTGTCATCCTTGCAGCAGGGGCCATGTCAACCCGTGGTGCTGGTTACTACATGTTAAGGGAATCTGCAGTTTCAATCCCTCTGAAAAATATGAGTTCGTCAGTTGGGATGATGACATTCCCAATATATGGGGAAAAAAACATGTTCCAAACCACCAACCAGTATCATCTGAGATATTCTGAGATCATCTCATCTCCAGCCATCATGTTAGCTTCAGGGGTGCAGGTGTCAGCGCGGATCTTGCCTCTTTTTCTCAGTATTTTCGAGCCTTGCGAGGAGGGGCAATCCACACCCTATGGGAAAACATCCCTATGGGTATTATTTTTTACATCCCTTCAATGAATGGCGATCCCCCAAAATGGCTATATTCAACTCTTGACACTTGAGCGGTGTTGAAAACCCTTTTGCGAATGTGTTATAATCCAATGTGGCTTTCGCAGAGCTTTCGCAGTACTTACGCGACCACACGTTTAGCTTTCGCGGATGCTGAGTCCATCATGCTAGCTTTCGCGGAACGAGCTAAAGCTCGCGTGAGGTTTCTACTTTCGCGAAAGTAAGGGTTCGTTGAACGTTTACCATCTGGTTATTTAACAGTTCGCCATGGAAAATCGCCATGCTATTAATAGGTAAACCATCTATTTCTATGGGCCATCTATGCCATGGCTATGTAACAAATTACCAGGCCGGGTATATCAAATCCTTGGAGGTTTTGGTCGCTGCGTTCTGGTGCCCGAATTGCTAGTCCAGGTAGGGCGAAGACCAAGTTGCTCGAGCTCGGGCCATGAATTCAAGAACTTGACCAAAATTGGGGAGTATATAATATTATATATATAATATTGAACTCATTAAAAAAAACAATCTGCATGTTATTTGACATTTCGTGATGAATACAACGTGATGACATACTTATAGCCATTGCAGCAAACACTCGACAACTCTCGCGTTTTTTTGATCCGAAGTGTCACTCGACAACCCGAAGGAAACCGATGATCTCACTTTTGAAATTCCCAGAGAATAGCATGTCAGAACCAGAACTCTAATGGTATTTATATACATATATATACATATATACATATAGATATGTATACATATACATATATATATATATACATATATATATATGTATGTATATATATATATATAAATACATATATATATATACATATATATATACACATATATATATATGGTGGTTTCCTAAAATAGGGGTACCCCCAAATCATCCATTTTTATAGGATATTCCATTATATATAAACCATCCATTTTGGGGTACCTCCATTTTAGGAAACCTCCATATGATTCCAGCGAACAGCTGGGAACGCTCTCACGCCAAAAGGAACGCCCTTGGGTCGGTCGACGCCTTCCGACACTGCCCAGCGGCAAGCTCTGCAAGCCCTGCACCGGGCTTGCCAACCGCAAAAGGGGTTGGAACTGCAATGCAAATAACCAAAAATTTTAGATCCTCATAAAAATAAAACAATATAATATAGTATAATTTAAAAAAACTAATATAATATAATATGATATAATAGAATATAATATAATGAAATAATATAGTGTAATATAATATAATATAGTATGATATAATATAATATAATATAGTATAATATAATTTAATGAAATAATATAATGTAATATAATATAATATAATATCTTACAAAAAACATATAATACAATAAGATCTTCCTACAAAAATAAAACAATGTAATATAATATAATATCATTTAATAAAAATAATACTATACAATATTATATAATATTATATAATATTAAATAAATATATATATATATACATAATATCCTATGATAAAATATACTATTATTTAATATATTGTAATATCCTATAATATAATATAATGTTATTTAATTTAATATAATAGAATATAGTATAATATCATATAACATAATATAATATACTATAATACCTTACAAAAAAAAAACACATATAATACAATATAATATCCTACAAAAATAAAACAATATAATATAATATAATATAATATAATATCCTATAATATAATATAAATTAATTTAATATAATACAATACAATATAATATCATATCATATCATATCATATAGTATCTGACTGAATACCCGGTTGAATACCCAAGGTTTTCAGCAGAAGCCCAGGGTTTTGATTTTCCCATGTTTTTCCAGTTGTGCCGCCACCCCTGCTGATGCAACACCTGGTTCAACTTGGGCTTCTCGGAATTGGGACAATTTTTGGTCTGTCGGACTGCTCCCAAACCCATGATTTTTTCACGGGTTGGCACGGGTAAATCACGGGTTTAGAAAGGGTTGGGGAAACCCAGGGTGTTTTATGAAATCCAGGGTTTGGCATGGGTTTGGCACGGGTTAGTTGACACCAAATCTCTAACCCGAACTTTTTCCGATTGGGGTAGAAGAATTCCGATAGGGCGAAGAGAAGCTGATGGAAAACTATCATGATTTTCTGTTTCTGTCGGGCGCTATGAGGCATCTACTCAATCAAAAATCTATGGGATTGGGGCATTCCGAGACAATGCCTACCTGGTGGCCGGATGGAGGAAAACCCAGGGGTTTCCAGCCGAACCCTTTTTTTAAGGGTTCAGAAGCAAAGGGTATATAATATACATGTTATATTATATATAATAAAAAATATACATTTTATATATTTTATATTATATATAGATTAAATAACAATAAAAAAACATTACAGTATATGTTATATTTTTATATTATCCTGGAGAACCAAAACCCTAAGAATTCTTCGGGTCAACGCAAGAACCTGAGGTATTCGGAAAAAATAAGAAAACCTCGGTTTTCGATTGAAGACCTCGGGTATTGATTTTGAACCCGTACTTAACCCGTACCTAACCCGTACTTAACCCGTACTAACCCGTACCTAACCCGTACCTAACCCGTACTTTCAGAATGGGTTAAAATACCCCGGGTTTTGTCAGAAAAGCTCAGGTATTTTTCAAACCCTAAGATTTCTGCGGTTTTTGGTTCTCAAGGATATCATATTATCTTAAATTATACTATGTTATATATTATATTATAATATATTATATAAAATTATGTTAAATTTCTTATATCATATCATATCAAATTATGTGATATTATATTGTATCATAATTTTCATTATATTGTAGTTTTAATTGCTTTTTAAATATGTTATACATATTGTAAATATTATTAACAATATTATATATATTGTAAATATATATTATATTATTTTAAAAAAATACGTCATATCATATATATTAAATTAAATTGGATATATTACATGTTAATATATACATATATAACGTATTTTATATTATATATATATATACCAGCACGTTCAAAGGGGTGCCTAATGAATTTCAAGAATTGAGATTCTTAAGGGGTGCCTAATGGACACCCCTTAGCGTTCATGGAGATGGCACACCAGAAAATGATGAGTTCCAACCCAAAATCTTCCAATCCCACCCGCGTGGCATCTGTGGTGCACCCGACTTCATGTTTGGCGAGAAGAAATGCATGCGTTTCTTTTCGCGTCGGATGTAAAATGTTCCCAAAATTCAAGAAAACTAGTCAAAATCGACACGAAATGACACGCGCAGGGGTTGTTCAAAAAGCACCCGACACGTTTCTAAGGGGTGCTTATTAGACACCCGTTTGCCTAAGGGGTGCTTATTGGACACCCCCTACCGACCGACACGACACAGCAGTGACACGCAATGACACGCATGTTTTTCTTGATTTCTCGAAAAAAAACTCGTGACCACTTATGACTGACACGACACGGCAATTTCACGAAATGACACGCATTTCTGGAAGCAAACGTAGGGAAATCGAATAAAAATGCACATATTACTATGAATACCTCATTATCTGTTAGTTTGGAACCTTAAAAATTAAGGGGTGCCTGATGGTTACCCCCCTTAAGGGGTGCCTAATTGAGACCCGTTTGTACATCCTGGTATTCTATTATATGTTATATTCTAATATATTATATTAAGTTATATTATATAATATTATTTTATACTATAGTAAAACAGATTAAATTATATTATATATTTTCTTTGTTTCATTGCATCATATTAAATAAAATTATATTGAATATAATATATATAATTATATACTATATATCAAATATTACATATCATATTTTATACATCAAATAATATTATATTACATTATATCATATTATATTACATTACGTTATATTATATTACATTGTATTATATTACATTATATTATATTTTATCCTATTATATTATATATTGTATTGTATAATATATAAATAAATCTATTTATATTACCCTCTGGTAATTTAACATAGCTATGGAAAATCACCATGTTTAATAATGGGAAAAAAATCCACTATAAATGGACATTTTCCAATGGCTATTTTGACATAACCAGAGGGTCGAGTTCTTTTGAAGCGGTTGTCAAGCCAATTGTTGAGAGGGGCCGTTTTGGGCGTCCCGGTTGATGTTGACAGGAGAGTGCGATGTTAGTTTCACCAGAGGGTTTAAATCCCATTAGATTCCCATGATGATGAACCCCACCATTAAATCCATAAAATACCATTAAACCACAATAAATCCCATATTCCTATGGTTTTCCTATGATTATCCAATGTATGTGAATGTGACTTTCCTTTTGTGTTTTCCAAGCTATGACGAGGACTTTTCCGCCTTCTCCTCTGTCCGCTGGGTCCGCTGCTCCTGGATGCGCAACGGCGAATCGCGTTTTTCGGGGGTGAGTTTCCATAAACCGCCAAAGCCATAGGAAAACCATAGGAAAACCATAGGAATATGGGA